AAGAAGGGGGAGGAGGAGGAGGAGGAGGTATCCAACTTAACTTCACTGTTAGCTTCGTGCTCTGTGCGCAGCTTGAGAAGAAGATGAAGAAGAAGACGGGAAGAAGAAGAAGAAGAGAGATCGATCTTACCCTCACTACCAAGGAGATCGATCTTAGCCGATTGATTTTACCGGAGAAAGAGTGATGAAAATTTCAGTTGAGACGAGGGTAGTCGAGAACTCAAGTTTCAAACACTTTTAACGAAAAAAGAATGAGCCGGTAAAATGGGGCACGAATATTTTTCGTGCCGCAATACATGTTATATTTTTCGCGCAGGACCCAAGTTTCATTCTTATAAGAATGAGTCCTGCAGCAAGAAATGGTAATTCAAACACCCGCATCTCATTCACTCTTGCCCATTCTTTTTCAGAATCGTAAGAATTAAAAGAACGAGGCCATGGCAACAAATCAAACATGACCTAATTTAACTCATAAAAAAAAATAAAAGAAATGAATCAATACTTGATCATAAATAAAATGAATGTGTGACCCAGAGGGAGGCTTGCAGGATAGAGGTGTTAATGGACCGGCTTTGGGTTGGATTTCATCCAAATTAAAATCTATTTGGATAGATTGGATAGACCAATAAAACATTAAATTTGAACAGACTGGACGGACCAATATGATATATTGGATTGGACCTAGTCCGTCTATAATAAATTTATGGATTGAACCAATATGTGGTCCATTAATAGAAGATAAGAACATAGGTATCAATGGACCAAGTTTGAATTAAAACCAATCTAAATTAACAGAAATTTGAACAAATAAATCGGTCCAAAATATTCATTGGACTGGATTGAACCAGGTCCATTTATAATGAATTCACATTATTTGGACCGGATTAAACCAAATCCAGTCCAATTGACACCCCGGACCATTGGCCCACATGAAACCTGTCGTTGTGTGAGTAATTGAGTATGATCCTATTGCCTGGCCCAACTGTCAGGACGGGGCTAGCCTCCAATAATTTTTCGTGCCAGACAAATTGAGGGCTTCAGTGCTTACAAGACTTTATTCACCGTTCGTGTAACTTTTACAACCTTGCGATTGGAATATTTCCGTGTGTATATATTTTTTCATCGAAAAATATTATTCTTAATGCAAGACTGTAAAAGACCGTGGCAAAGGTGTGAGCGCGGTGTTGTGAGCAAGTGAGCACTGAAGCCGATTTCATCTCCATTTCCTCTCACTTCACTGTATCCATACTTGACAAGGACAGATATTTAGGTGAAAGCGTACCATTCTCATCTAATAAATGGGTCCCACTGACGAGGCTAATCATAATTGGTGTCGCAAGCCACTGTGGAGTATCGGGTAGATTCCAATCTAGCATCAGACAGTCCTTCTTTTGCTCCATCAGGCTCTACAGAAATTATAAAGTACCAAATTAAAAGATGTCTCCAAACCGTCAATAGAACACGACATATGGCTCTCGTTGCTTTGGCGTTTTCCTCCATACATCCCCCATCACCGTATTATCCACACTCCACAGTGTCGTTGTCGCTAAGTACATGAATGTGCACCATCTGTCTTACATAAAAAACATGCATGCACCTGGACCCAGTGTGTCAGAAATCAAGCCCACACAAAAGTAACCCCTAAAACACCTGCCACGTGTACTTTAATTTTATACATATAACCACGTGTCGCTTTAAGATCAAAATGCCCCTAAAAAATTCCAATAATCTATCTGCATGTAAATTGCAAATTAGTAACTATATTTTGGATTGTCTTACTTTAATATCCAAACTTTAAAATGTATCACTAACCAAAACCTATTACCTTTTTAGGGCCTATTGTTAGTATTCCTCAATTATTTAAAATATGTAATATCACATGTGATTTGATATTTTAAACTTCCAAATTTATCCATCACAAAGTTACACCACTCCGGATTCAGTGCGTTTGGACTCGGAGGGATTTTTTCTTCGAGCCATTAAAGTTTTGATACGTCATTCATTGCTTTATTAATCATTACTTACAACCAGTTGAAATTTTATGAGTGACAACAATAATTTTAAATAAAAATTATTAATTTTTTAAAACTAATACGACAGAAATTTTCAAAGCTCTGCGTTCTCAAGACTCTAACCTTTTTCACCCAACCGCACCATTAATAGCAACAAGCCTTTGTGAATGGTGTTCAACCTACAACAGAACGGCAATGGGCAACATGGTGATTGTGGATTTTAACGGTAGCAGCAACGGTGTTAGCTAAAAGTTTCAAACATAAAAAATATTCAGAGGAAAGCTGATATCTATGTCTAGGGTTTTTCATCTTTCCTTCTTAAATGCCGATGATAGAATCATTTTTTTTATTTTCTTTTTAATTCCAGCAAATAGTAATATTGTATGAATGTTTGGAAATTCTTTTCCTCTATATCTATTTAGTATTTCTTTTTGGTTTTTTTGTGCTATTTTACATTTATTGTTTGAATTAACCTGTATTCCTTGTTCAAAAAACTCCAACCATTAAAGTCTTATTGCGGTTGTGACTTTGGATCTGCAAGACAAACCCAAGACACGAGGTTGTCTTCTTCTTCTTCCATGCAAATGTTCTTCTTTATACGGACAAAAAAATCTAAACCCTCACGTTCTCTTCTCTGTTCTCAGAGTTAGACCTTGCTCCCTCAATCAATAACAACTGTAGTTTACCCCTGTTTTGGCAAGCCAAATGGCAAAATGAAATAAAGAGAACTAAAAAACAGATAAGATCTCAATATCAAAAGAACCGTTCAGGGGTGTTCTGTTCTATTATTGTTTCATTTTCCTCATCAAATTTGCTAACTTGAATCACCGGCAACGATGTGATTAAATCAAGGGAAATGATAAGCAAGAACCAGATTTTAGCGTCCGCAAGAGGTGCCTTGGACTTAGGCTTCTTTAGTCCAGACAATTCTACAAAGCGGTATCTCGATATATGGTACAATAACATTTTCGTGTCAATTCTGCAAGTACTCGGCTCAGGAGCAGAACCTGAACGAAGTCAAGCGGCTGATGCATCAATACTCAGATGAGGAACCGAGCATAAACATGACCAGCCACAGCTTGGGTAGCGCACTAGCAATGCTAAGTGCTTATGACATAGCAGAGATGGGTGTGAACGTGATGGAGGACGGCCAGGCGGTTCTAGTGATGGTTTTCTCGTTCTTAGGACTAAGAGTCGGGATTGTGAGCTTAAAGATGCGGGTGGAGAGGTCAGGGGTGAACATTCATGACACGATGCCAAAGGTTTCAAGTATATTGTTCAATGAGCACGTGTCGAAATTGATTCACCGATTGGCACAGTGATTGTCATGGTGTTACTCACATATGGGAGTAGAGCTCATACTGGACCACAAGCACTCTTTCTTTCTCAAATTTTTATTTAAAAATATTTTAGAGTAAATTTCTTAAATTACCCTTATGATTTAATTATTAAGTGTATCCTTACTTTTTGAAAATTGACTAACACTATCCCTACTGTTTTTGGTAAATAACTAACTCTATCGTTACTGTTAGTATCCGTTAACTTTCCATTATATATTTATTAAAAATTCCTAAAACACCCTTTCCACCATCTTGGGTCTCCTCTCAGTCTCATCTTGAAGCTTTCTTCGTTATTCAGACATTCTAAAACTCAAAGGCTTCCAATGTAGCTAGTGTGCAGAATAGATCTCAGTTCCGGACCTTCGGGTGAAGAGATCTCAATTCCAACATCCTCAAAGGCTTTCTTCTTCATTACTTCTTTATCTTTTTCAAACGAAAACCCAGGAGCAAGATTTCGATATTAGTTCCGACGATCTTAATCAGCATATCTCTTTCAAACGAAAACCCAGGAGCAAGATTTCGATATCAGTTCCGGCGATCTTAACCAGCATGTTGGTTATGTAGTACCCCTCCCTCGTTTTAAAAGATCTAATGGGTTCCGGTTAATTGTTGAGAGGTACAATCTGCCCAACATTAGTTTTTAATGGGTTTTAAAAATCTAATGGGAGATCCTGCTTGGCTTTGGCGGAACCGCCAAGAACAACCAAGATCTAATCGAGTGAACAGATGAATGATAACGGAGAAATCTGAAACGGGAGATCGTCTTTTAATGGGTTTTAAAAGAAATCTGAAACGGAGTGAACAAATGAATTGATAACAGAGAAATCTAAAACAGAGAAACTGACTTCGACGGAACCGCCAAGAACAACTAATATTTCTCCGTCACTGACTCCGCCAGAACCGCTAAGAACAACCAATATTTCTCCGTCACTGACTTCGCCAGAACCGCTAAGAACAACCAATATTTCTCCGTCACTAGCTTCGTCGGAGATCGTCCCTGGCTTCGTTGGAACCAAGAAGAGAGTTGGGAGATCTACAGATTCGGCAGTTCTTGTGGTTCCAAGAAGAGAACGATAGGGAGATGAGAGATTTGAAAAATGTATACATTTCTGGCGGTTCTAACGGTTTCGGAGAAGAAAAGGAAGAGATCTACAGTTTTGGCGGTTTTGGCAGTGTTGACACACGGGATAGTTTAAAAAATTTACCTGGACTCGAAGAGAAAATCCCTTCGAGTCCAAACGCACTGAATCCGGAGTGAAACATAAGGGCATTTTGTGCTTCTAATTTGCCGGTATATTAAAAGTGACAATTTTCGGGAGTTGAGCGACAGTCGAGAATACACATACACACAAGTACACGATACTAATTGTTGCTACGTGGCTCCTCTTCATCTCTTCTTCATCTTTCAATCATTGGAGGGTATAATGGGGATGGTGAAATTTTTGTTAGAACGTGTGATGTACACGTGCGGATCAGCTTCTCGTACCACAAGTTGAAACTTGAAACTGTGTACGGCTGTCCCAGGTCCAGGATCGTTTTCCGTTGCTGAATAATGCCACGTCGACGAATGAGGAAAGAATTACAGATAGAGGCTGGATTGCAGACTTGCAGTTGCGAGAAGGAGAGGAGAGGAGGCTCTTCCAAATTTACATCTGCGCTACACAGAAAACATCTCCCACTCATCGGGAGATGTTCTCAATGCACGCTGAGATGTGCATGTGGGGCGTTCTAGCTCTTCCCACCACTAGTTCTGGCCGTCGCTTCTGAGCCACAAGCATGGGAAACGGAGCACAAAGACAAACTTTTTGACAGCAAAAGGTTCATCTGGATTCTCTCCTTTTCAAATCCACAGACAGCCTTCAAATTCAAAGTGGGTTGGCTTCAGATGCCCATATGAGAGGTTTGTCGCCTCAAGCGTCGATTGTTTCAGAGGAGATTCGAGTCGGTGATGGAGTGACTCTACACCTCTCTATTTATAGAGAAGAAGGGATGCAGTAAGTCTCAATGGAGAGAGTCTGCATTTCAGCGTTCCAAATTTGCAGGTAAGTGACCGAACTGTTCTCATTTACTTTCTATTGTTAATTTCTACATGTTAGAGACGGGTTGGTTCATGTTCTTCTGCTTACATGGGGTATCAGAGCCGCCTCGTGCTCTAACATGCAGAAAACCGGTGTTCGGTTACTTCGTAGCAGATTTGATGAAAGGTTTTAAGTTTGAATTTAATCTGCTTGAAAAGAGATTCATCCCCGGCCGACGGAGTGACAACCGACGGTATGGTTTCTCAGGTGATCATCGGTGGCTGGAACCCGGAAAGTCTGTAGCAGTGGAAAGCTTCCCTGTAAATCATCGCCTGAGAAGACGACGGTTCGACGGCTCTCCTCGAGCGAACCCGTTTCGACCAGATCGAGCCCGTCGTTCCAACCCGCCGAGTTAAGCAAGTTAATCCGACGCGTTACGTCGGGTCAACACGGCGAGGTGGGCCTAATCGATCCGTGTCGATCCAGTCTGAATCGGATCAAACCGGACCGATCCAGGCCGGACCATATTTGTTTAATGGTCCGGTTCAGGGCCCTATATGGCTCATAATTCGGTAGTTGAATCTTGTAATTTGGGGTTTTCTGGCTTTATTAATTCATAAATGTTGGTCTCATACCTTAGTTCACACCATAACCTTGTGGTTCATCCCCGGTTCAATGAAACTAGAAAATCTAACAGGCCGGTTCAGGGGCTTTTTGAACCCAATTTGACCCCAGTTTTTTCCCATAATCTTATTACTGTATGGGTTACAGTATAGAAAAATTTATGAATTTCTAAATTGTTCTTGGCACGGGTTCAACAGTTAAAATCATGATTTGGCAATATTTTTCTTATTGGTTTGCCATAGAATTGCGTGATATACTTTATTACTTTTGATTGATATATGCCCATGTTACATGATTTTATGATATGATGATTTGTTTGCATGACACATGATTTATTGCCTCACTTTAAGTTGGATTTGACTATCTAGTCATCAAAGTGGCACATTCATGAAGGTCTGTCAGTTTGGAGTTGAATGTGCTACATTGAATCAATGGGTTGATCCATCATTTAAGCCGGATTTGATTGCCCTTAAGACCATAAAATCCTTCATGAGTGTTCAACTTTGGTGACTGGACAAATAATTCAACTCAAAATGGTCTCAATACCAGAGAAACAATCCAACTAAAAGTGGCACATTCATGGATCGATTCATTGACTCATCATAGGTCTGTTCTTTATCTATGTTTTTTCTGCTTCAAATTGAGCTTTTGAGTTTGCATCCGGGACTCAAGGGATGGGTTTTGCTTGCCTTTAGAATTCTATTTTGGGCCATTGGGTTTTCATTTTCATCATTCGTGTTCACTTGTTAGTCACCAACAATTGGCCTTACTACTGTTGATCAATTCATTGAGACATTAACTCATCAAAGGTGTTTCTTTGTCTGTGTTTGTTTTTCGTAATGACACCTTCGAGTTTGAATCTGAGATTCAAGGGATGGGTTTTGACTGCCTTCAGAATTCTATTTGGGTTTTCATTTTCACCGTTGGTTTTCACTTGTTAGTCACCAACAATTGGGTTTACTGCTGTTGATCGATTATTGACTCATTGAAGGTGTGTTCTTTATCTGTGTTTGTTCTACTTTTGGTCGAGCATTAGAGTTTGAATCTTGAGACTGAAGGGTTTGAGTTTTGACTACCTTTGGAATTCTATTTGGAATTTTGTATTCTTCATTGGTTTTCACTTGTTAGACACCGACAATTGGTTTTACTACTGTTAATGGATTCATTGACACATAAATGGTGTGTTCTTTATCTGTGTTTGTTTTGCTTTAGTTGAGTTTTGAGTTTGAATCTCTGAGACATAAGGGATGGGTTTTGATTCTATGTGGGTTCTAACCAAGGTATATGCTATCCACTATAATAGTCTTTACCAACCAACTTCAGTTGTATTTATCCTTGATCTTGAAGAAACTTAAGTGTCCTTATCTTGGGGTTTGGCTGTTTTGGTTTCAATTCTCATCTTGGCTTGGTTGAAGATTTGGAAATGGGTTTTTCCTATGTTTTGTAGAAGTTATCTTAAAATCAGTGTTCCATAATCCGACTCTTTGTTTAATTGAGGGATTCCATTAGACAGTTTGATTTGTTATTACTGGAATTGTTGTACATGGTTAAGGTATTAGGATGAATTGTTACTTACAATATTGTGTAATTTTTTCATGGGGTTCCTTTAATTTGATTGTTTTGTAAGAGAACCTAGAATCATTTACTTAGCTGCTCTCCTCTTTCTGTCTGCTATAAATAGTTTATCTCTGCAATAATACCACTACGATCTTTCATCAAATTCTTGCTTTTAAGAGTAAAAAGATTAGTGCCTAAATGTTTATGGTGAATTGTATTGATTAATTGATGTTGGATCTCCTTTCTGCATCTAAAGAAAAGTGTTTGATCTTGTTTGGGTTGCATAATGTGTTCTTATTGTAAACAAATACTTGATTCGGTTGTTTTATAAGCCTTATGTAAGAACAACTATAAAATGGGTCCTCTAAGTGTAATCATATTTTTATCATTATTTTTCTTAGATAAAGACATGGACTGGTATATCCTGGGAGGCTATGATGATCCCATTGATCCAAAGCATCAAGGACCAATAGATAGGTTTCCTTTACAGAACTATCATTCACAATCGGGAGTTGCAACTTTAAATGGCTTTGCCTCCACAAATAAGTATGGCATTGGTATGACAAATCTGACTAGGGAAGAACTTGGTCTTGATGGAAAATTCATACACAATGAAGGTGAGAATGGTATTTATGGTCAATCTTCTAGTGGTTCCAGCAGTTGCAGAGGATATCCAATGGTTGATAACAATAGAGAGAACCCAGAAGCTTCTTTAGACAGGAGAAAAGTTCCATGTGGTCGACCTGATTACCAGCTTGAAGGCTTAACTGGGACGAATCGGATGGATGATATTTTCTTGTATGAACATCACTCTTGGGGTTCTTAAGATACTTGACTTGGTGCCTATAGGAAATTATATAACTCACAATGATGTTTTAATTTGTCATGTGTGATAAAATTCTTTCTTGTACTTTTGACTTTTGACTATAATAGTCTCATTTTGTATCTCATAATATTCTTCTCCTTATTTTCTGTATGCAGGAGTTTGTTAATGGAGCAAAATTTGTCCAACATGGAAAATTTAGCAAGTCCCGCTTCCACATTTTCTGAATCTGAATGTAGCATGATTCCATTTCATGATTTCTTGATGGACATGATAGCAAATTCACAGTGTATTTCAAAGGATCTGTCGGGTCAGTGCAATTCAATGAATCAAAAAACACATGCTTTTCCTCCATCAACAATTTGGAACAGAGTGATGAATAATTCATATTTTCCTAGACCATCCAATTTGGAGCAAGCCAAAGATTTTTCAATGAAAAAGGTGATTTAAATTGAAAATTTTCATTATCAGTCCCTAAAAGCACTACAAAAGTTGACTAGTTTTTCTCATTAGTAGGTTCTAAGAGACCATAATGCTTTTTTTAAGCTTATTGAGATTTATTCCCCAGAAAAGAGTTGTACTGTCACTCCCTATAAAAGAAAAAAAAAAAAATCAAATCAGTTAATACAGGTTTCCTGGTTGAATGTTCTGGATTCATGTCCAAAGTAAAAGCCCAAAATTTTGAAGTCGAATAGAGAAAATGAGCAAAACACTATAACTCAAGTTTTTGAGTTCTACAACTTAGAATTTTATTGACTGCCATCCTATCTATATCCAGGTTCTAGTGTTATTTATAAAAGAAGCAATGAATTCTTATGTGATGAGTTATTTTATGTACTAATATGTGTGCTTGGATAATGCTTCTACGTTATTATAGTATTATTTTTCTACTCATCTCTTCTCGTTTATATTTTCTTTATTTCTTGTATTTTTAATAATACACCTTACTTTTTACTTACAAAATACTTGTATGGTTGTTTGAAAGCAAAGCTCTTGAATGAATTCATAGACTAGTACATTGTAGGTTTCAATTACTCCACCTATATGTTACATAAAATTGCTATGTATCCCCATATTCTAGTCCAATAAGGTCAAATCATCTTGTATATGTTTGTGTTTTTCAGGCACCATTGGACACAATCTTGAACCCAGGTGAAATATGTAGCCCTTACAAAGCAGATGGACATTTGGATGTAGAAAATTCAGTGGAGGAATCTGTGTTGCAGGAACTCAAAGTGGTCATAACACAGGTTAAAGTGGGGATCCTGAAAACTTTAATAATGCCATTCTATGGAACTTAATCATAATATCTGATGGAATTGTCCATATTTTGATTGTAACAGTTGACCAAGCAGACACGAATATGCTTTCGGGATGCCCTGTACCGCCTTGCCAACAGCAACAGGCAACAACATATGCTACCAGATGGAGAAACTTATGTGGACAATACCTCTTCAGAAACATTTGGTGAACTATCAAGGTACATTCTTTTGTTTCTTCCATTTTGGTAGAAGACTCTATGACTTGCTTTATATTGTTCAATAGTTTTTTTTTATATATATATATATATATACATGATCAATTTCCCAGATATTGTCCAGTTATGAGATGGGAATTTCTTAGTCATAGGGCATTTTCACACATGTTATTGGACCACTCTAGGGGAAAAAATTGGCCTAATTTGAGGATGAGGCTGGTCCTATTCAATATTATTGTTAGAGTGAGCCGAATAAGGGTAGTTTAGTCAAGTTGTCTTTGTTAAGTTGTATGCTTATGTGGCAGTTTTATTAGAGACACTCTGCCCCACACTTAAGTAAGGGTAGTTTAGTCTTTGTACAAGTAATTAGAGACTAATTACTATTAAGGGGTCGACTGATAGGGTTAACCCATCAGATTCGACAATCCCTTCATTTTCCTTCTTCTTCTTCTTCTTCTTCCTCTTGCTGGTTCGGGTTACTGTAGCAGCAGTCGAAACATTGTATCAGAGCAAGGCTCCTGACCTACTTCAGCTCGTGAACATCTCAGTAGTGTTCGTGGCCTCTCTTTCTTCATTTCTGGGTTGTCAATGGAGAAAACTGGTTCATCCTAGGTCTGAAACATCTCAGCTCGTCTCTCTCTGTTGTGCATAACCTTCTTCATTAAGAAAATGACTTCAGTAGTGAATGGTTGGTTGAAACTCTCAAAAGAAGGTCGGTTATTTCTTCTCCTTGTGGAGGAGGTATATATGGAGCAACCACCTGGGTTTGTTGCTCAGGGGGAGGATGGTAAGGTGTGTAGACTGAAGAAGACAATTTATGGGTTGAAACAATCGCCGCGTGCTTGGTTTGGAAAGTTTAGTGAAGTGGTGAAGAGTTTTGGAATGAAGCAATGCTAGGTTGATCACTCAGTGTTCAACTATGACTTAAAAGCTGGAAAGATTTTATTAGTGATCTATGTGGATGATATTGTCATTACTGGCAGTGACAAATTGGGGATTGACAAACTAAAGGTATTTCTGCAAAATTATTTTCAAACAAAAGACCTTGGGACATTGAAGTATTTCTTGGGCATAGAAGTTGCCAGGTCAAAACAATGTGTAAATTTGTGCCAAAGAAAATATGTTCTTGATCTACTGGAAGAAACAAGATTGTTAGGTGCAAAACCGACTGAAACCCTTATGTAACCAAATGTTAAGTTGAGCAGTGATACAGGGGAAGTATTTGAAGATCCTATAAGGTATAGATGACTAGTGGGGAAGCTGAATTATTTGACTTTCACGAGACCAGACATCTCCTTTGCAATCAGTGTGGTGAGCCAATTTATGCAGAACCCTCGTATACCTTACTAGGATGCAACTCTTAGATGTGTAAGATATCTGAAGGGAGCTTCGGGCCGTGCGCTAATGTATAAACCAGGAGAAAAACTTGAAGTAGTTGGGTACATAGATGCAGACTGGGTAGGCTCAGTGTATGACAGAAGATCTACTATAGGCTATTGCACATTTCTTTGAAGAAATCTTGTGACGTGGAAGAATAAAAAGCAGATGGTTGTGGCTAGAAGCAGTGTTGAAGCCGAGTATAGGGCCATGGCACACACTACCTGTGGATTAGTGTGGTTGAGGAATCTTTTACAAGAAATCGGGTTCCACATGAATAAACCGATGAAATTGTATCGTGACAATCAAGCTGCACTCCATATCTCATCCAACCCTGTTTTTCATGAGAGAACGAAGCACATAGAGGTTGATTGCCACTTTGTGAGGGAGAAGGTTCTTGTTAGAGATAAAAGCACAGAACATGTGGGCTTGGGTGATCAGTGGGCAGATTTGTTTACAAAAGCTCTAAGCTCAGGGAAAACGAACTATCTATGTAAAAGTTGGGATTATATGACATATATGCTCTAGCTTGAGGGGGAGTGTTAGAGTGAGCCGAATAAGGGTAGTTTAGTCAACTTGTCTTTGTTAAGTTGTATGCTTATGTGGCAGTTTTATTATAGACACTCTGCCCCACACTTAAGTAAGGGCAGTTTAGTCTTTGTACAAGTAATTAGAGACTAATTACTATTAAGGGGTCGACTGGTAGGGTTAACCCATCAGATTCGACAGTCCCTTCATTTTCCTTCTTCTTCTTCTTCTTCTTCTTCTTCTTCCTCTTGCTGGTTCGGGCTACTGTAGCAGTAGTCGAAACAATTATATTGCATTGTCTACTTATCAATAAAAATGTTGATGAAAGAATAAAGAAAAATATACAACATTCTTTTGAACTAGTATTTGAGTATGGTGAGGAATCAATTAATTAGTGATCCCAAATCCTTTGAGTGTTGATAAATGTAGACATCACATCCATACATAAATGTAGAATTACATGCAAGTAATTACTTATATATAGTGGAATTACTTACATGTAGTTCTAATTCAATTCATTTTCTTTTCCAAAATTTTTATCTAAAAAAGAACTTAGAGTGAAAAAATGTGTTCACTGAAAATTTCAGGATTGGAGTGCCCATTTCCAACTTTTTTATGTAGAGACTATCACAAGTGCCTGAATTCATTACTAGGTTGCAAGCCAATTGACAGGATCTTAATGACAAAGACCCCATTTATTTAATACAATTTTATTCTATTTTATTTTATTTATTCTCACAAAACCAATACACAATTTTCATTTTCAGATTTGGAAGAATGACACCACCGGAACTTGGTAAAAGCTTCGTCGATAGGACCATTGAAAACCTATTGTTTAATACATTGAACTGCACTGGGCCAAATCATTTTTCTCAGCATCAACAAACCTTAGAAGAGAACCTCTGGCTGCAACTGGATCATTCAACTATAGCTTGAATCAGACATCAATCCTTGCTGATCCTTCTCCAATGTTACGAAGTCTTGCTGAAGTTCCAACCTTTTGTAGTGAGTTTGTATAAAGATTTCAACAATAGGTCAATACCAAGACTAGAATAAATCATCATTCAAGAATCAATTACACTGAGCAATTGAATAGGTGATTTAGCAATTTTATTGTAATTAGTAGTGAAAAAAGGTATTATATTAGTCATCCAAATTTGCATTTGATTCTACATGACCCATGCAAGCCACTAAGCCAATTTCATGGCCTGGTTTTGACATATTAGTCCACTTGCCTTATTTTTAAAGCATATTTGGATCCATAGTAAACACATGATTGATAAATTCATGAAAATAGACAATTTGAATTGGTCATTACAACTACGAATTATGGCATTTATTTGGTGGTGGAAAAAGTCTTAAAATCCATGATTATACCAAAATTAAGTTCAATAATTTCAAAAGCAATTAACAACTCTACCAGTGTGAATGTGTCTTACAATGCCAATCTCAAGCCCAAATAAATGAGGAGGGTTGTGTTAGGTTGGTAGCTGACAATAAAATTGCAAAACTCTAATGGCATGGATCCTAATTGAAATAGGATTCATGTAGTTGAGATAATGGTTGGATGGTGATGAACATGATGAATTTCCAAAGCAATTAATAGGTCGGATATTAGACAAAATTATGGAAATGGCAAATAAGTGGGCTTTCTTGGACTCTCACTAAGGTTTCCACTTACTGTGACCATCACCAATGGAAAAGGTTGAAGAATGGTAATGATTTGAAGGAAAAAAAAAAGAAGAGATATGTACCAAAAGAAAAAATTGTTAATCCATTTATTATCTTTGTAAGAAGCATTAAAAAGACTAAAATACCCTTGAATGTGTAAATTACACATTCAGCACTTCTCTTTAAGTTGGGCATAGATGTTGAGCATGCCGAGCTTGTACAAACTTATTTGGCTTACATTTAATTACATCCTTAGTAAATATATTAGCAAATTGATTTTTTTTGCTTAACAAAGGATAAGCAAACTCTCCTCTTTTAATGTCTCCCTATTGCTCTCTAATGAAATTAATAAAATGGCTGAAATTCTCTCAATTGCAATTCATTCAAGATGTACTGGTGTAATATGTACAAGTTCTAAACTAAGAGGGGAGAAAAATCATCATCCAAACCTTATCCTAACTATATGGGAATTGTTACATTAGTTCTATTTCACTATTTTGTTCTATTTGCCAAATCCATTGTTAAATTATCAAGAGGGGAGAGAAAAATATATAAGGTGAGAAAGTAAAGGTAGATTGTAGGAATTGTTACATTAGTTCCTACAAACCTCATGTAAACAGATAAAAATGATTATATGATTCTAATTGTTCCCATAATCTGTTTAGGGTGGTAAATAAGAAAAAACAAACAATTGCCCTTTTTGAAGGGCGGTGATATCATGTTTTAGTTGAAGTATTTGTGGTGCATTGCCTTGTGAGAATTGTTCCTCAAGGTCAATCCACATGGCTCTAGTAATCTTTGTATAGATAGAGCTATAAAAGAGTTATTTAGCTAAGGAATTGAGAACCCATGATAGAATCATGCAATTGCCTTTTTCTCAATATTGGATTTCACTAAGATGCCCAATCACTTTGGGTAAAGTCCCATCTTCAAAGCAATGTTTATTTTTAGCAAAGTGTTATTTTCATGATTCTTTTCCATGTCAAGTAATGATCTTTAGTATGAGAAAATGAAACTAGAGTCGTACTTGAGTTATCACTTTGACTATGGTATTGTTAGTCATCCTATCATTTAAATCTCCAATAACAATATTGTTGTTGCTATTGATGATATTCACCACCCACCATGAAGAGAAGAGAATGTCACAGTGACACAGAACAAAAGGAAAAACAATTTGAGTTTTCCTTAGATCAACCTTGCTCTGATAACACAATAAAATGGTTGCAATTTTATTAGTCATAATTCATTTATAATGCAATAGTGTAATATATACAAGTTCTACATCAAGAGAGGAGAAAACAAGGTGAGAAAATTTAGGTAGGTTACTAGACTATTATAAAAGATGGTATATAAAAATGGAAATAATACAAAGAAATCCATTGGGTATATATGATATTTTGTCCTTTGCATGGTGTTTACAAGCTCAACTTATATGGAGCTTATAACTCTTCATTAGCAACTATTGGTGTGGTGATTGGAGACTCAATTAGTGAAAGCCCAATCCATGGGGGAGCAAAGCCCAATCCATGCATAGTTCTAATAAGTATTAATATTTTAGAGCCATGAGGGGCAAGAGTGTTTCTTTATTCATGAACATATATTTGGCCAGAAAGAGATTAAAAGACAGTAATTGATAATATCTTAAGAATCAGGAAAGATGGAGCAACCTTAGAGCATTAAAACTATTATCAAAGACTATATCAATTGTCAATTGAGAAGATAACCGCAATTTGACATAATTTGTAATTTGCGTAGAGTTAAGTGTTGCCCAAATAGCCTAACCCATGAGAGGGGGGGGGGGGGTGAAAGGTTGATGAATGCAAGATTAGTGGAGTGAAAGGTTGTGTTTGTACTATACAAATGTAGCGAATAATAATAAAATTAAATAAATAAATGATTGTACAGAGATTTTTATGGAGGTTCAAAAAAACCCCCAACTTACATCTCCTTAGGCAACCTTTTAAAAATTCCACTAAAACTTATTGGGCTTCTAGGTGCCAGATAAACCATACAACTAATAGGATTTTTAGGTGCTTGCAATGCCTTAATCAGTTGGCTTACAAGTGCCAACAAGACTTGAGAAGTTGGCTTATGGGTGCCAATTAAACCTAACAATAGTGTTCAAACTAGAACATTCAAATACGACAAATATAACAATGTAAGCACAAATACAACAAATGCCTCTTAGTACTTAGTACCTAGATAATAGAAAATACAATACAAGCTATATCCTAAAAAGAGAATGGATAAGAATATAGGCTTAAACTCTTGAAGAGATTTAACAAATCCTAGTGAGAAACAAATAAGTCAAGAAGGATATTTAGTTTTTTTTCACTACAGACTGATTTAACACATAAATCTATTCTTGTAGAAAAAACTGTTGCTTTTAAAATGCTCATTTTACTTGGCAGATTTTTACTTATCAAGTTCTTGTTATTCTTTAATCCAAAACCATTGATTAATAATGTGAAGAGCATATAACTATTAGAGAGCCATTGGAAAGGGATTAATCCATACTAGGAAATGTTCAGATTGAGTTCCTAACAAGATAAAAGGCATTTGTGCCTTTTAAATAGTCAAAATTTTCCACAAGTAATCCACTAGAACAAGCTAGTACTTGACTACTAATCATAGGAATGAATTTTTTTTTTCTCTAGTAGCTCTTCTAATAGTCAATTAGTAACTTACACATGGTCTTAGCTATTAAGCATAGTCGATTCATGATTTCTTATACTTAACTACTAAATAGTGCCTTTGTAACACAGGCCTCAATTGTCAAGGTTAGTTGACTATAGGTTTATGAATAGTTGACTACTCATTGTCACAACCTTAGAAACTTTGAGATTTCCATTCTAAAAGGTCCGAAAATTGTTTTTTTTAGGCTTTCAAACTTAGATTAATTACTTTTTGAGTTCAAGAACACCTAAGGATTAGGAGTAATACTAGCCTTTGTTCTCCAAGGTTAGGTTAATTGAGATTGGTCAAGTTTAAGCCCATATATTATATTCCATGCATAAGATTCACATCAAAATCCTAAAGCACAAAGCAATGTAGACCAATAGACTTAGATGCTTTCTCCTCTTGGTAGCAAACTTCTTATTTTAAGAGATTCAAGTTGATTTACATCTGCCCAGTATATTTCCTTCATTCTTTACTCCTCATACTAATACTCTCAATGAATTTGCTATCACCAAAACACATAGGGCCAACATGAAGGTAGCCAAAATGATGGTTAGGGATGTAATCAAATTGAATCCAATTACATTCACATCCAATCCAAAATCTGATATATAGGACTCAGGTCATATTCGATTTTAAATGAAAAAAGAAACCACTTTTAACTACACATGTATAATGAATGTACATAAATATAAATAATTTAATATTTTAAATTTGAATCGAATCCATTTATTAATTGTTGCAAGCTCTAGCATTCAAATTCAGAATAATCGTTTCGAATGCCAAATTCATTGACAACCTCGTAGATAGTGAATTGCCATGGATATTGCTTGAGGACTCTTAGGATGAGGAAACTTTGGTTATCTAGGTAGGAATTTCTACCCATATTGCATAGCTTTGTGCCACGTCAAAGCTATTAACAGGGCAAAAAAAAAAAAAATCAAGCGTTTAGTTTCTTTTTTATGTGTGTACACATGAATACATACAATAGAAATTTTAAACAAACCCTAGCAAATCGGCAAGAAGGATGTAGCTTAACTCTCACAACAAATGGGCTAAGTCTACATCTTGTTCCAAGAAAGCATTGTTTGTTAACCAATCTTCCGCTTGATTTTCTTGCATTCCTCTTTCTTGTTGGAACAACTCCATGCTGTTTCAACTTTGTCTTATAGGGCATCTATGGTTGATGTTGAATCTCCTTCAATTATGATGTGCTTGTGTTGGAGTTGAAATTGCCAATCTGTATGCTTCCAAAGCTATTCTCATCTCCACTATTGTGATTGTAGTGATACCTATAGGTTCAGTTTGGAAGGAGTACAATTGCAAATTTATACAGTACAAATACAAGTAAAATAATACAAAATACAAGATTTTACACTCTACATAATAATTGCATTTGTATTCCTTCCAAACTGAGCCTTAGGTAAGAGATGATTATTGTATGACTAGGATGAACTATGACTAAATGTGACAGATTGTCAGGAGTTGATTGTTATTATTCCAGTGTAGATATGATTATTCTAAATGGAATGCATCTGTTAACTTCACTAATGACCCCATAAATTTCATTGAAAGATGATTTGACAGATAGCCAATACATTTGCAATTGAGATCATATCTGTAACTGTTTAAAATAATAATCGTATCTACAGCTAAAAAAAATGAAGATGCATTGCATCTTCTAAATCCAATACGCTAGAAAGAACTAATTGTGATTGAATATGATTTTCTTCTTGGATACTTGAAAAGAAAAAATAGCTTTGAAACCAAGGAGTCATGAGTGGGGGAATATATGATGGTGAGGGTGGACATAGGGGATGAGGAAAGGGAGACAATAGATGAGTGAGGGAATTTGTGTGGTTTGAATTTCACCTATAATTTGGTTTTTCCTTTTCAAAAAAATTTTCATCACTCATCTGTTCGGACTTGACCTCAAGCTCAATCCTTAATTCTTAGGGTTTGATCTTGAGTATTGAACTTAAAGCTAGCCCAATCTACTCAACTTGAACCCTAAGGATCTACTAATTCCACTAGGGTGATCATCAAGAAATGAAAAACGAACCGAACCAATGAATTGGAATCGAAAGTTCTGGTTAACTGAATTGGTCAATTTGGTATTTTGGAAAAACGGAAGGCACTAGTCTGGTTTCGACTGATCAGTATAAAATAACTGATTGTTAAGTAAATCGACCAATATATATATATATATATATATATATATATATATATATATTTCTAGATATTATATATATTTTATATTACCTATATATTATAAATGATGTATATAATATATTTTTCATCATTTATTATATAATATAATATATATATTGTTCATCATTTATTATATAATATATTATATGCCTTTCTAGTATTTTTATTGCATATTTATATATTTATTTATAATATATATTATAAAAATAAAAGACCAAAATACTAATGGAACAAAATGGTGGAAAACTGAACTAATTAATTAGTTAATGGATTGGCTCGATTTGATTTCGGTTAATGATTTTTCATAAACCGGTACCAGTTCGATTTGGAAAGTAGACTCATGATTAGGTTAACAAAACATTAAGGCTGCAACTTGGGCTGGGTTTGCTTGAACCCAACCCTAACCCAATCTGAAAAAGTCGGGTTGGGTTGGGTTAGGTTAATGCTCGGGTTAGAGTTAAGGTTGAAATTTATGAACCTGACCTAATCCGAATTTGACTCTATAGTACATATCATATATAAATTTATGTTATATATATGATATATTTGATTTGTTTAGATGCATGATAGTTGTATAACCCCCACCACATACTATCATTTATTTCTTTTAAGATAATCGCTTCACTTAATCCTAATTGGAAATACTAAAACCTTAATAACATATTTTATATTTTTTTGAATATATATTTTTTATCTCCTTTATGTTGTTTGCCACCCTTAGCTTGTTGAGTTGATGCCCATAAAAGATCTATTATAAATCATAAGACATAATAAAGTATAGTCATTTTAAACACTTTTTTTTTTAATTTTGTACTTAAAGAACCAATTAAAACATCAATAAACAAGTATTAATATAGGATTTATGTATGTAGTGAAAATTGAGTTAAGTTATGAGATTAATAAGTTTTATGAGATTTTAAGAAATAGGAAGAAGGTTGGATTGGATTAAAGGTTGAACGAATTTAATTAGGATTTGAGTTAGAATTGGGGGTTTAGAACATAGGATTGAGATAAAGTTAACCTTAACTCGACCAAACCCGCCCCGATTTGCAGCCCTACGGAACAAGACCCCATTTACGACATTGATTTTGTAGTTTTCTCCCGCCATATAAGTGAATAAAAACGCAAGGAAATCACTATTTAATATTCAGATCCCATAGCGGAGTGGATATCGCATTAGACTCCGGATCTAAAGGTCGTGGGTTCGAATCCCACTGGGATCGTTTGAAGATTTTAGTTTTAATGGATCGTCGGGACGACGGGTCTGTTTTGAATGGATCACCCTTTTCCCTAGGTCGATGGGCCGATCCGATCGGGTTTGCCTGAAGCACCTCTTTATATCAAACTCCAAAAGCGAGGCACGGTGAAGTAGCGCGAACCAGGAAGAAGGCTCGACCAAACTCCTCTCTGCACGAGGTACTCTCACCGCTTCTCTTTCTTTTCTTGGCTTTCTGTCTCTTTTCTTTCGTTATAACTTATATGCCTGATTAGCTCAGTAATTTTTCCCTTCTCTGTTTCATCTTCTGGAACGAATCTTGTTATGGATTTAGGGTTTTTCGATGGTTTTGATAGTATATCATCTGACTGAAACCCTAATTCATTTGGGAACTCCTTTCAAGCCATAAGAATAGAAAATGGTTTCTGTCTTAAGAGCAGTATTGTTTCTTGATGTTACTCCTTGAACGAATTTAGAGTGTGATATTCTCTGTTTCATCTCCTGGGGTGAATCATGTCATGGATTTGGGGTTTTTTCCATGGCTTTGGTTGTGATTTTAACAGTATATCATCTTATTGAAACCCTGATTCATTTTGGAACTCCTTTGAAGCCATAAGAATAGAAAATGATTTCTATCTTAAGAGCAGAATTGTTTCTTGAGGTAACTCCTCGAGCGAATTTTAGTGTATGACCTTGTTTGTTGTAATTTTTGAGCTACCATCCTATTTCCTCTTGATTTTTAAATATTTTTGGTCTGTCTGTTCACTCCCTTTCTCTATTCATTTTTCCCTTCAAAATAGTGTATGTTTACAACTCATGTATTGGATCAAGTTTCTATAGAAGTGGATACAGACAAAAGATTCTCTGTGGGCTGACACCAAACTAACATGGAATAGTTATAAGTGGTTAGAATATTCTTTTGGAGGTTAAAGTGGTCATATTGGACAAGAACTTCAATTTTGGTTTTATGTCAGTGTATGTGCTTCCTTTAATTTTCAAGTTCTAGCTTTGATTTCCTACAGTTATTGAAAAGAGAAGTTCAGTAAAACATTTAAGTAATTGAAAACAAGGAAAAAAAATGTTCTGTTGTGAGATAATAATGTATTGTTAGTTTGCACTATCTGATACTAATTTCTTGTCAATCATCAGCACTAGTTTCTTTCTTTTTTTTTTTTTTGGGGGGGGGGGTCTCTCTGCTTACTTAAATTTGCCAATGTCTTAAGCTTTTCTGTCATTCATTTCAGCACCCACACTGAAAGCAGTCTGACCTCCTTTACAGTTGTCAGCACCTTCAAGATGCAAGGTTTCCCAAGAGAAGGTGAGAATGCTCTTGCTGTCATGGGCCCAAGACCAGGGATGGAATGGTCTACAATTCCATATAATGCTCCTCCAGCACCTGGACCGAATGGGAAGCCACGGACATCAAGTTTGGAATCACCAATTATGTTGCTGGCAGGGCACCAGAGTGCAATATATACTATGAAGTTCAATCCGGCAGGAACAATCATTGCTTCAGGGTCTCATGATAAAGAAATTTTCCTTTGGAATGTGCATGGAGATTGCAAAAACTTCATGGTATTAAAAGGGCATAAAAATGCAATCTTGGATGTTCAATGGACTACTGATGGTAGCCAGATAATATCGGCCAGTCCTGATAAGACATTGAGGGCATGGGATGTTGAAACAGGTAAACAGATAAAAAAGATGGCAGAACACTCATCTTTTGTGAATTCATGTTGCCCTTCCAGGAGGGGACCTCCTCTTGTTGTCAGTGGATCAGATGATGGTACTGCAAAGCTATGGGATATGCGTCAAAGAGGTGCTGTGCAGACATTTCCGGACAAATACCAAATTACGGCTGTGAGTTTTTCCGATGCCTCAGATAAGATATTCACGGGTGGGATAGACAATGATGTTAAGGTGTGGGATCTACGCCGGAATGAGGTTACCATGACTCTTCAGGGCCACACTGACATGATCACAGCTATGCAATTGAGTCCTGATGGCTCCTATCTTCTAACAAATGGTATGGATTGCTTTCTTCGCATCTGGGACATGCGTCCATATGCCCCCAAGGATCGGTGTGTAAAAATATTTGAAGGGCATCAACATAATTTTGAGAAGAACTTATTGAAATGTAGTTGGTCACCTGATGGAAGCAAGGTCACATCTGGTAGTGCAGATCGAATGGTGTATATTTGGGACACAACTTCCCGGAGGATCTTATATAAACTTCCTGGCCACACTGGATCTGTTAATGAGTGTGTGTTCCATCCTAATGAACCTATTATTGGATCTTGCAGTAGTGATAAACAGATATATTTGGGGGAGTTCTGAACTACAATCTTATTGTATCACCCATTGAGAAATGAGCTTGTAACTGACTCTGACAACCAAAGCTTGGGAGTTGCTCCTGATAGCTATGGAGGCAGTGGAAAGGTACCATGTATTTCTCTACTTCACTAGTTTTAGAATTTTGAGATCCTGAATGTGTGGGTTTCCCCGAGGAAGGGTGGGAACTGGGAGGAAAAGATGAGTGTAATGTCTATCTTTCCAAATACATTTATCATGAGGGAGCTTTTCCAAAATTCAGCTATATTGAGGAAGATCTCTATTTTATTTTTTTTATTTGCTTAATTTAATGAGGAACGGTATGTGCTGATTGAGTGGTGAAGTTGGTTAGTGCTATTAAACTTAAGTTGTTGTAGCGTCCGATCTTGTCATATGATACTGAACTCCTCTACGGGGATCAAAACCTTAGTTTTGTGTGTGACCCTCGTTATCAATGAGACTGGTACAACTAAATCCAAACTTGGAATATCTCATGACGCTAGCTGTTAAATCTAATATGAAATCTGCTATAAACAGACTGAATTGTGTATGTTGGCCTAGATTTTAGAACCTGACCTTGAGAAATGACACTTTTTTTTTGAAATGCAAACATTAGCGAATCAATAAGTAGTTTATGAAAATGGCTTAATATTTAACAGGAATATCAGGCATTTGCAGTTAGGGTCTGTTGAGCATCATTCTTGCATCCTGATTGAGGCCTGATGAAGTGGGATGAGCTCTGAAGGCTATTCTTCTTTTCTCTGCAATTGCACATATTGGGATGAGCTCTCATGAAAAGGCTATTCTTCTTTTTTCCGGACAGAGGATTTTTTTTGTTTGTTTTATATCCTTACTAGATTTTGATCCAGCCTATGATTGAATCTCAAAAGGTTGTAAGCAGATTTAATTGAACCATTGAAGTTTGGGCCCCAGACTCTAGTATCATTTTCCTCGAAGGATGGAATGTGGATCTGACTTAATTTTATCAATTATTCATTGAGGAACAACACATGCTAGTTTCAGAAAATCCCAAATGTTAATTTCTCTATCTTTAAAAGTATTTACTTTGAGGTTTGGTTCTAGTTGGTTTCCATTTAATTCAGAATCCCTTACTAGGTCCTTGATTGGTTTCAAATCAATTATCCTGAATTTGCATCTTAATCCATTTCCTATTTTCCACGTCAAGCCTTTTTGAATCCATTCCTTCTGATGGTTTATTTTCTTCTACGCCCACGAGTTATTTTTCTTTAATTTGTCGTCTAGAAAGTCCTGTTTTAAATATTTGTTTCGAACTACTTGGACCCACAAATTGTTCTGATCTGTTAGGATTTTCCATCCTAATTTCGTTAAGTTAGCTTTGTTTGCTTCTTCCATTTTCCTTAGCCCTAATCCTCCATCTTTCTTATCTAAACAGACATTGTCCCATTTCATGAGGGCGAATGATTTATTATTTTGTTTTTTGCCCCACAGAGATTGTCTCTGTAATTCGTCCATCTCTTTTGTTAGATTTTTGGGATTCCAAACGTGCTCATTTGGTACTGAGCAATATTTCCTACCACATCTTTTAGTAGGGTTAATTTTCCCCCTAGGCCTAGGGATAGTGTTAAAGATTTCCATCCTTCGATATTTGAATTTATTTTCTCTAGGATGGGGATAAAGGTGCTTTTGATTACCCTTTGATGAATGATAGGGGCTCCCGGGTATTTCTCCTCTTTATTAGTTTTGGAGATGTGATATGCTCTCACTATCATTTTAGGAATCTATTGGGGGTATTCTTTGAAAATATTAAAAGGATTTTTGAAAGTTTGGCTTTTGACCAGAGGCAATTGCATATCTATGATGATTGTCTTTGATGCAGTAACTTGGCTCTAGGTTTGCTTTTGCAAAGGTTATGCAAGCATCTGTAAATTGAAGGATAGGAATTGTAGGTCTGTTTTGAGATATTTTAAATCCCAAATTTGCTTTGTTTCCTTTAACATGTTTCATAGCATGTCTAGAAAGTGCCTCACAACATAGCACAAAGAGGGGGTCCCTTTGTCTAATTCCTCTTGAGGGTTGGGGGGATAGCTTATAGTAGTGATACATTGCATAGTCCAATTAATCCACTTGATTTGGACCCCTGTTTTTCCATGTATAGTTTATATGCCATTATTCCTCATTTACCTTTTTTCTTGTTCACTCAATGAAAGATTTCATGAGTAATTAGAATATTATCGGTTACCTCTCTTCCTTGTATGAAAAAAGAAACAAAAAACTTTTTTTAATAAAAAAGGATTAATCTTGATTGTCAGTATATAGGTGTAGTATAAGTGTATAACTCAAATTTTTGCTACTTTCCGAGTGAAAGGACATGAATACTATTTTATTTCGCATTTTAATTTTGATCTTTGACCTAATAGATTGAGACGACTGTTGATATGCGATTAGATTTCTTACAAGGTATTCGAAACACTTATAGTTTGGAAAGTACATCAATGATACTAAATCTAAGTTGTAAATGATTTAGTTTTGACAAGTAAAGTTGTAAATGATTATGAATGAGGTGTATACGTATAAGAAATACATAATTTGTTGATGTATATAAATTATCACGACACACTTGACAATTAAAAAAAAGTATAGATGAATTAAAGATATGCATGTATATCTTAATTCTTGGGAGGCCAATAAAAAAGTTATTGATGAGGGCAGATTTGGCCCTCCACTGACATCATGACACATGGCATCTCAGAACAGGTAGATGACATCCTAGCATCACTTAGGTGATGAATTGCCTTAGCCAAATGATGAAGTCCTAATTGGCGATTTGGTGACTTGCCTTCGCTGCTGATTTGATGACCTGGTAACCAGCCTTTGTCGTTGACTTGGTGATTTGCCTCCACTGCCAACCTGGCGACTTGCCTCCACTGTCGACCTGGCGACCTGCCTTTGTTGCCGACCTGGTGACCTGCCTCTGTCGTCGACATGGCGACCTACCTCCACTGCTGACTTGGTGGAAATCTAGCTGGCGACCTTGTCCACAACTCAGGGTGGCTAGCAACACCTCGTCCAGGGCCAACCTGTGGTACCTCATCAGTATCGGCCGAAGTGACCTCAACGTGAGGAGCGACCTCACTCGAAGGCTTGTTGACTTGATTGAGGTCCATGTGGCGACCTGCAAGATGTGCTCGTCGACCTATTCTGCACGCATCCCATTACTCTCGGGTCTCCTGGAAGTCAACTCTTACACCGAATGTTCCAGAGGAAACCGAATAAGGCGCAAAGATTGGTCTACATGCACAACTACCTCCGAGGACTTCAGACCAGTTAGGCACGTCTTTTCGAAGATCTCGGATGCGGTGCGTGATGCCCACGCCAAACAATGCCTATATAAAGGCCTTACCTCCAACCTCATAAGGTACATGCACAATTTGGTTCTCGCAACTCTCTAGCTCTCTCACATTTAGCTATCTTAAAAATCTCTGATTTATTGACTTAAGCATCAGAGTGCCCTCCTTGGGTACACTCTGACATTGTTTCCTTACAGGTCGCACCAGTAAACTATGCAGCTCACCACCTTCAGCTAGGGACAGTTCAGCTAGGCATTAGAGCCACCTTCAGGTAGGAACTATTCAACTAAGCATTAGAGTCACCTTCAGCTAGGGACAGTTTAGCTAGCGTTAGAGCCACCTTCCAGGTAGGGACAGTTCAGCTAGGCATCAGAGCCACCTTCTAGGTAGGAACCATTTAGCTAGGCATCCGAGCCACCTTCTAGTTCATCACCACTCAACTAGGTGTCAGAGCCACTTTCTAAGTAGGAATCGTTCAGCTAGGCATCCGAGCCACTTCCTAGCTTGTCACCGTTCAGCTAGGCGTCCAAGCCACCTTCTAGTTAGGAACCATTCAGCTAGGTGTCCAAACCACATTCCAAGTAAGGATTGTTCAGTTAGGCATCCGAGTCACCTGCCAGTCGGGAACAGTCAAAACATGCATCATCAATTATTATCCAGGGTATAGGAAGGGGTAGATTGGGAGGCCAATATTGTTCTTCTTAATATTTATAAATATATAATTTTAATATATATATATATATATATATATTTAAGTTTTAAAATGAATATGCACTAAGAACTATAGTTAAAATTACCAAGGAGGTGAAAAGTCACATGGCAAGTCAAATCTAACCAATTCAAAAGAAAACCAAGGAGTATCTAGGAATCTATAAACCAAATATTTCCCATTAACATAGCCCACACGTTAATTAATGTACTATGTGTAAGCTTCTAATCTAGGGATGGCAATCGGGCAGGCTTGGAGAGGGTTTTGTATACCCGCTTGCCTAAACCTCCCAACCTGTATATGCCCCAAAACTCATAGTGGGTTAGCTTTTGAGAATCCAAATCCTCCCTACATATGAAAATGCAAAATCCTCTCTAACCCTACCCTCCCCACATTCAAGGGTAGGGCAGGTTGGATTTAGAACCTGCATCTAATTTCCTATTATTTTTTGTTATATATAAGCAATAAATAAGTAAATTAGCACAAATAAATAACAAAATTTTCAATAATTTGATTAAAACATGTAAAAAAATACATAAACTATCAATTTCTTTCATATAAAATTCAAAATATTATTAACTTTGACACCTAATACATAAAATTTATATGTATTTATATGCTTTCCAACAAGATGTAGGTCTGAGAGGGTTGGGTTTAGCTTAATACCATACCCCTACCCACTCCTGCATGCATTGTAAAATCCCAAAACTCATCCTGCCCCAAAC